TATCTAAAGATAATTACGCTAAAGCTGCAGGTATTATGGATGAATGAGAAAAAAAGATGCCATAAGATATGAAAATATTCAATACCAGAGTAAGCTTACAACTAACAGATTTATTGAGCACTACTTTGGAGCCCTGGTGGCTTAGTGGTTGAGAGCTCGGCTGCTAATCAAAAGGTTGGCAGTTTGAATCCACCAGCTGCTCCTTGGAAACCCTATGGGGCAGTTCTACTCTGTCCTATATGGTTGCTGTGAGTCAGAATCTACCGCAGTGGGTTTGGTTTTCGTTTTTGTTTTTTGGTAAGGCATAGTGTTAGTCTTCTGAGAAATTCAGTCTAGTAGGAATTGATGGATAAAATTTATACATTTATAAAGATAATTAGTCACATAAGGGAGTAAAATGATAGGAGCCACAATAAATGCTATATATCTTAAGTCCCTTAGGTGTTCAGGGAAAAACAATTACTTCAGAGGTTGGACCTTGCATTCATAGGTACACAAGCAAATGTAAATTGTGTACTTTACTTTTATTATGGGAAGTTTTGCTATTCTGTTTGTTAGAACCTTGTTAGACATATGATTGCTTATATATGAACGCTGCATGAAATGGATCATGTAAATTCTAATTGATCAAAATTCCTACTCCTAACCATGAAAAGAATTTTCCACACTCTGAAAATATTTTTATTGATATATCTTCCTTTCTTTTATTCCTTGAGAGAAACTGACAATAAAAATAAAGTAAGCTTTTCTTACTTAAAAAAAAAATTATGTCCTGAATTGCTGTTAGTTACCTGGTTATTTGCAAAATGGATTTCACCATAGTAATTTAAACCAGTTGCTTTGGGCAGATTCGAATTTATAAGCAGCCAGAAAACATTTCAGTATATTTTGGACTTTTGATTTCCTTCTCATTCTCACCAAACTGAGAGATGGGTATTGAAAGCATTTGCTAAGAGTATTCCCAATATGTTTTTAAAATAATTTTTTGCATGTAAAAGAATTTTTCCCATTGTAGAAAAACTAGAAAATACAGGAAATTATGAATAAGAAAATAAAAATCATCTCCAGTCCTACCACCCAAAGCTACCCATGCATATTTGCCGTATTGACCGCCACCTATTTTATGTGAATACGTGTTATAAACATAATAGGGACCATAATACACATAGCGTTTTGTACCCTGCTTCATTTTTTCACTTAACATTATACATAACCTTTTTTCATGCCATTACAATATCTTTGAAAATAGTGGTTGTAGAATATTCCTTCATATGGATATACCATAGCTTAATATTCAATTGTTGTTTTCCATCATTTGTATTACATTCTGGGCTATTCTAAATAATTCTGCAATGAACATGATTTTATATAAATCTTTGTTTGAGTCTGATTTTTTTTTCCTAGACTTGATTTATAGAAGTGGAATTACTGGATCAGCAAATATAAACTTTTTAAAAACTCTTTGATAAAACTGACGAATTGCTTTCCAGAGAATGTGTACCAGTTTCCAGCCATATATGAGAGTGCCTGTCTCCTTGTATCTTTGCCAGTGTTGAACCCAAGACAGTATTTTAAAAAGCACCTTCCCTTTGATTTTTGCTTGCTAATTCAATAATTTTTTTCAAAATGTACCTATCTAAAGCTGTTTTAGATGTACTTTCAATAAAAACTACTTACAGTAGAGTTTTTAATGAAGTAGGGAACTGCTCGATTCATTAAGTTTAAAAATAATCAGGTTGTAAAATTGTATGTGCAGAAGTAAATAGAAAAAGAAACTTTCACATAAGCATTATAAAAATATGGGGCATCCCTGGTGAATATGAGTGATGTAAATTTTTTTATGCTTTTCTTTGTTTTTCTGTATGTTTTTGATCATAAATATAATTTCCTAAAATATAACCTTATAATTAAGCTGCAGTACAAATGGCTTCACCTCCTCAAGAATTTATAAGATATCCAAATTATATAGTGAAACCTGTCAAAGCTGGAACTCAGAAGGACTGCCTGTTTTTCCGGGTCTTGCAAGTTTTCCTCCTTTAACAGGGTGCAGTCTTACTACTTTTGTAGTACTCAGTGTACTGGAAAATATTTGAGTTTTCCTTCTCTGATAGGTTCTAGTTTTCACAAGTTTTACTATATAACACCTTCCCCTGCTTGATAATTTGATATAATGTTTCTTTTTTACTGTAACCCTGCTTTGAAGTTTCTATGTTTATTTATGGAAATTACATATTTCTCAAGTATTAGTAACGGACACTGGCCTCCTGCTCCCTTATACCAACCGTTGTATTTCCTAGGAGGTACTTGTATTGGGAGTGCTTCTGTCCAACTTATATACAAGTTTTACATATAAAACTTGTATGTAAGTTTTTTAAATGATAAGTTGAATAAGAGTGAGTGTTTGATTTGCGTAGAGAAATGTAAAAAGTTTTACTGGAATTCATATTTGCCTCTTGGTACACCAAAATTGTTGAGGACCCAAGTAATCCAAAAGTTAAGATGGTAAGTCTTCTTTATGTTAAAATTTAGAAAGAGGAGTCAAAACAGTTCGGAATGAGGTATCTAGCAACCAAGAAACGAACAGTTTTTAAGATTTACATTTTGTGAATTTATTTTGGCATGACATTTATAGCTTAGGAGATATTGTTGTCAGGTGCCGTTGCGTCGCTTTCAACTCATAGTGTGACCCTACGTACAACAGAACGAAACACCTCCTGGTCTTGCACCATCCTCACAGTCGTTGCTGTGTTTGAGCCCATTGTTTCAGCCACTGTGTCAGTCCATCTCGTTGAGGGTCTTCCTCTTTCTTGCTGACCCTCTAGAAGCATGATTTCAGTCTCCAGGGACTGGTCCCTCCTGATAACATGTCCAAAGTATGTGAAACAAAGTCTCCCCTTCCTCGCTTCTAAGGAGCATTCTGGCTATACTTCTTCCAAGACAGACTTTTTCGTTCTTCTGGCAGTGGTATATTCAATATTCTTTGCCAACACCATAATTTAAAGGCATCAATTCTTCTCCAGTCTTCCTTATATTCATTGTCCAGCTTTCACATGCATATGAGGCGATTGAAAACACCATGGCTTGGGTCAGGCGCACCTTAGTCTTCAAGGTGACATCTTTGCTTTTTAACACTTTAAAGAGGTCTTTTGCAGCAGATTTGCCCATTGCAATGTGTATTGATTTCTTGACTGCTGCTTCCATAGGTTTTGATTGTGGATTGAAGTAAAATGAAATCCTTGACAACTTCAATCTTTTCTCCATTTATCGTGATGTGGCTTATTGGTCCAGTTGTCAAGATTTTTGTTTTCTTTATGTTGAAGTGTAATCCATACTGAAGGCTGTGGTCTTTGATTTTCATCAGTAAGTGTTTCAAGTCCTTTTGGCTTTCAGCAAGCAAGGTTGTGTCATCTGCATATCGCAGGTGGTTAATGAGTCTTCCTGCAATCCTGATGCCATGTTCTTTATATAGTCCAGTTTCTTGGATTATTTGCTCAACATACAGACTGAATACATATGGTGAAAGGATGCTACTGTGGCACACACCTTTTTTGATTTTAAACCATGCAGTGTCCCTTTGTTCTGTTTGAACGACTGCCATTTGGTCTGTGTACAGGTTGGTCTATGTACAGGTTCCGCATGAGCACAATTAAGTGTTGTAGAATTCTCGTTCTTCGCAATGTTATCCATATGTTAGGAGAGAGCACAATTAAGTGTTACGGAATTCCCATTCTTTGCAGTGTTATCCATATGTTAGGCAATACCTTGTTAAAAGTCCACTCAATACAGATGCAACCAAAAAAAAACAAACCCGTCGCCGCCGAGTCGATTCCTACTCATAGCGACCCTATAGGACAGTAGAACTGCCCCGTAGGGTTTCCAAGGAGCAGCTGGTAGATTAGAACTGCTGACCTTTTGGTTAGCAGCTGAACTCTTAACCACTGTGCCGCCAGTGCTCCTCTGTACAGATAGTGGTACACAATGATGTGTTCACCAAAACCACTAACGATCATTGCCTAGTACTTTCTTTAAAGAATTTTTTTAAAAATCTTGAACATGAGATAGTTAATATGAATTACCCAATAAAGTCAGAAGGTAAAGTGTATTAAAATCTGTTGAAAGAATCTGTTTTTTCCCCGCTTATTTTCCTGAACTCGTAATGTGAGAGGTAAGTAACATAAATTAAATTGAAGTAGGGGAGCATATTTTTTCAATATAATCAACTTGACATCACAAAATACTTTCAGAGCTCAAGGTACTGAAAAATAAAACTACCTAATTACCTACTTCTTTTATCCTCCCTTATCCCCTTAAGCTGATCTTACCAGGTTCCCAAATATGTGAGGTTTCTTCCAAAGATTCTCATTAAGTGGAAATCCATACCTCAACCCATTGCCATCAGGTCAATTCCAACTCATAGCGACTCTCTAGGACAGAGTAGAACAGCCCTAGAGGGTTTCCAAGGCTGTTAATCTTCATGGAAGCAGACTGCCACATGTTTCTCCTGCGGAGAGACTGGTGGGTTTGGACCGCTGACCTTTTGGTTAGCAGCCAAGTGCTGACCCACTGTGCCACCAGGGCTCATTAGGTGGAAATATATAGGAAAATTTTTTTTTGGCATGAGACAGTTTCCCCAGTGACTCATACCTTTTTATAGTTATCAAGGAAGATCTGGGTTGCAAAAAGGTCTAATTCTTCTATGTTATGTACAGCTCACATTGCTTATTTGCAATATTTCAGTTTTCTCTTGACCGCTGTGAAACAATGGGCATGAATAATGTTCAGTTAATTTTGCCAGTGTTTAACCTAGGGTGAAAATATCCCCTGGTAGGTTTTTATTCAGATTATTTCCAGGAGAGAAAACAAGAAAAATAGCATTATTAGTTATAACAAGTTTTCAGTAATCAGTTTGTTTTCCTTGATAGAGATTGATATGCCTAGAAGCTGATATCGTGGCCTCAGCAAAATCATGCTAATAATCTTATCTTGTTGTCTTGCTGTAGATGTGTTCTTTGTGCCATTGTCCTGGAGCAACAATTGGTTGTGATGTGAAAACCTGTCACAGAACATACCACTACCACTGTGCATTGCATGACAAAGCTCAAATACGAGAGAAACCTTCACAAGGGATTTACATGTAATTATTTAACCTCTCTTTTAAGTTTTTTTCTAAGACGTACTTTCTTTAAGCTTTTTAAAAAGTTTTCCTTATTTCAAAGCATTTCCTCATCATCATAAAGGGTATTTTTGATAGGGAGTTAATGTGTAGAGAAATGGCATAGGAAGTTTAATAGTATTTGGAATCCAGTTTGTGAATGGGGTGAAGTGTGCTGCTCATTTCCTTAATTTGAAAAATAATTTTAATTTTCTTACTTGATAATTTTTAATTTCTTTATTTTTGTAGGGTTTATTGCCGAAAACACAAGAAAACTGCATATAACTCTGAAGGTAAACATTATTCAGCCACTTTTCAGGTTCAAGAAGAAATATGAATATGAGTGAATTATCTTACAGTAGTTTTATCGTAAGATGTGTGTCTTAGTCATCTAGTGCTGCTCTAACAGAAATGCCACAAGTGGATGGTTTTAACGAGGAGAAATTTATTTTCTCACAGTCTGGTAGGCTAGAAGTCCAAATTCAGGGCGTCAGCTCCAGGGGAAGGCTTTCTCTCTCTATTGGCTCTGGAGGGGAAGGTCCTTGTCATCATCAGTCTTCCCCCGGACTAGGAGCTTCTCTGCGCAGGAACCTCGGGTCCAAAGGATGGGCTCTGGCTCCCGGTACTTCTTTCTTGGTGGTACGAGGTCCCCAACTCTCCACTTGCTTCCCTTTCCTTTTATCTCTTACAAGAGATAAAAGGTGATGCAGGCCACACCCCAGGGAAAGTCCCTTTACATTGGATCAGGGATGTGACCTGGGTTAGGGTGCTATTACAGTCCCACCCTAATCCTCTTTAATGTAAAATTACAATCACAAAATGGAGGCCATCCACACAATTCTGGGAAGTGTGGCCCAGCCAAATTGATACACACATTTTTTGGGGGACATAATTCAAACCATGACAGTGTGTCTCAATATTAAATATATTTGGAAGAATTGAGAAAAGTAATAGGATAAAACTAATTAAAAAGACTTGAATTTTTAAGAGAACCCTTTATCCCAAAGTTCTTGTAAAGAGTATGTTGAAGGTATATTCATCTTCAGGAAGAAGTATTTGTGATGAATTTCTGTATTCAGTTAAATATGCTAGTAGACTCGTAAAGGTCATAATTGGAATCCTTGCTATCTTCAGGTATTATAGATAATGTGAATTTGGGAATACTAGTATGTTTTGTGATTACCAGGCTTTCTGTTAAATTTTTATTCACATTGTACCTTTTTTTTAAAAAATACAGACATGTCCTTAAGAAATTACTTCAAAATATAAACTTTAAAAATTATTTTATAGTCTGTTTCCACTTAAGTTTACACAAAACCTGGTTAGCCATGTTTATATATAGTTAGTCAAATTGTACTTGGTGTTTAAATGGTATGGAAAAGTTCTCAGATTGAATTCTGACTTATTTCAAACCTTTTCAAGCAGATGATTTTGAACTTTGATTAGCAATATAAAAAGGCTTAGATTTAATCTGAGATTGTTGTATCCTTTCATTTAGATTAGAGATATTTAAGGTTTTTGTTAGCTTCTGAGAACACATTGTTTAGAATTAGAATGGTTTGATCACTGTCATTTTAGGAAGTTCCTTTTATAGTGATTTACCTGATTGTCAGTGATAGCATACTAAGATTTGTGGTCATGTTTTTTGATCTCCTAGATCTTGGCTTTTATAATACAAAATAGTATTGTTTCTACTTCTGGACTTCAGGATAGCCTTAATACTTTAAAGTGCTGGTTAAAAATGCAATCTTTAGCAAAAACTAGTCTGTAAGGTAAACAGACTGGATATAAAATAACAATGTTTTTGAGACAATAAGTGAACTGCAACTGATTAACCTTTAGAGTGCTTTCCTTCACTTTTTCCCACACTTAATTCTAGAATTGAATTGAAAAATCTTTTGTGAAGGGTTAGAGTAGGCTTTCCCCACCTGTCATTACCTCAGATTGTAACAGTATATTTAACACTCTTTAAATTGCAGTGACCATACATGTTGAGCCAAGAATTAACACTTGTTATCTGACAAATACAAGTATATGAGCATACCAGGGCAGGATATTTGAGATGTAAGATTGTCCCATATCATTTGAGAAGGATGGCAGCACTGATTAATATAAACCAGGGCTTCGAACTGGTTGCATTTCCAGCAAATTCCCAGGCGATGCTAATGCTACTGGTTTGGGAACAATTCTGAGAAGCACTAGGAGTGCAGCGGTTTTCAAATTTTATTATACATAAGAATCACCTGGGGGGTCTTGTTAAAATGTAGATTCTGATTCAGTATATCTGGGGGTGGAAATGCAAATTCTCAGCAGGGGTTCATACAGGAATGAACCAGTTGGAAGCCCTGATGTAAACAAACGCCCCTTCTTTTCCCTAGATTTCTGAAGGTACAGTACCATCTAGTGGCAAAGAAAAATCACTGCAGTCAACATCAAGTAGAGTAATTTTGACCACTTTTTGCTCTGAGAAACTTATTCGTGAGAGAGTTAAATTCATACTTTTCAAGATGACTTTTCTTTTAGTGTAGCTGAAGGATGATTACAATTAAATTTTGTGATACCATTGATGAAAATTTGTAGCACATTAGGGCTCCCTTGCATTACTGGTGTATATAGTGTGTTTATGCTCTTACTGCAGAACTTGAAGCATAATTTTACAATTTGAAAGTATTACAGAGTTTATATTTATTGAATTTTGGATTTTATCACATTTATCTAGCTTGAATTTATTTGATACTGAGTTCTTTGTCAGAAACAAGACTTCCAATTATTTCATTGTTCTAATGGGAAATACATGTTGTTCTACTTTATGATTATGATTTATGATTGGAGAGAATAGGATTATATTTCAGGAACTATATGTGTTGGAGAATTGTACTGCACTAGTCTCTAGAGCAAAGAGGAATTGCTACTTGTGGAGATTTCTTGATAGTTTGCCATCTGTGGCTTAGTACCTGCTTTGCTGATATTTAAAATGATGGTGTAGAATTCAGCCTGTTGTGTTAGTTTGATATAATATGAACTGTGTTTTGAAATACTAAATTTGAGAGTAATTGCATAATATAACAACTTAATTTTCCCTTTTACTCTATAGCCCAAAGTATTTAGCTGTTTGGAAGCAATTTTGAGCTGTCACCATGTTACTAGATTATTAGAATGCCAGTCCCAGGAACTATATGTATTCACTTGTTAATGGTGATGGCCTTATACAGGCTGCCTATAAAATGATTTCAAACATGTAGAAAAGCACTTATGATAAAAATAACGTCTCTATTGATGGTGATAGCTGACTGAAGATAGGGCCCTTCTGGAGTTATGCACAGGTTGGTAAATTCATTTTACCCACTGTGTGCCAGGCCTGTTAGGTTACTGGAGATACAGGGATAAACTAGATGGGTCTCTGCTTCCAAAGAGCTTGAATTTGAGAGATATACATTAAACAAATGATTGAACAGTTAATTGGTTATAATTTTGATGAATGGCATGAATAAGAAATACAGGTACTATGAGAGCATGTTTGAGGGACCTACCTGTTTGGGGGGCACAAAGGAAGGCTTCCACAAGGAAGTTTCATTTAAATTAAGTCTTTAAAAGGCTAAAGATGGTTGGAGGAGCATTCTATGCGGAAAGAACAGGATCTTTGAAGACAGACAGGAAGGAAGGTGATGCTTCCAAGGAATCGTTAGAGAGCTCTGAAAGTACAGGATAGAGCAGCATATGATGAGTTTGGGAGATGAATGCTTGGGCCAGATCACAGTAAGGAGTTTCAGTATTATTCTAAGAACAACAGGAGGTGATTGAGGGTTTTAAGCAGGGAGAATGGCCTATTACAGGTGTCCTGGTGAGTGATGATACAAGGCTTGGATTAGAGTTGTGTCTACGGGGATGAACAGAAATGGACGGGTTTGAGAGTTTTGGAGGTAGAGTTAATGTGACCTAGGGATGAAGGAGAAAGAGGTATTGGAGGTGACTCCAAGGTTTCTGGCATAAACAAATGGATAATTGATGGTGACATTTACTTAAAGAACATTAGAGTTGGAGTGTGCTTATGGGGAAAATAGGTGAGTGCAGTTCTGAAAGGTTGAGTTTGAGATACCTGTGCACTTCGAGCTATCCAAGTAGTGGTAACAGATAAGTAAATGGATTATATAGTCATCCCCCCCTTTTTTTGTGGTGAAAATATACATAAAACATACGCCAGATTATATGGTTCTCTTCTTAGAATAGAGACCTTGGCTAGAGATAAAAATTTGTCCAATGTGAGTATAGATAATTGAATCTCTGTGATTGGAGCAAAATTCCCTAGGGAGAGACTTCAATAAGGTGTCTGGGTGTGATTATAGGGATTAGGTAGTTGATGGAGGACATCACTGAAGATCAGGGAACTGATGGACTAGGTGTTTCTTGGATTGTCCATGTGGACAGTTGAAATCACCCAGGGTAATGGCAGGAGCTGGAGAAAAGGACTGTGAATTTGTGCCAAAGAAAGTCTGATACATGAGGTAGAATGATTGGAAGTTGCTAATTGTTAGTAGTGCGGAGGGAAAGAAGGTAGCATAGCTTCTTTATACTCAAAGTAGTCTGTGGACCAGAGAATCATAAATAGGAATCTGCTTTTTAACAAGATCTCCAGGTGATTTGTATTCACATTAGAGTTTTGGTAGGAATTTCGCTGAATGGCTGGACCTCAGAAGTGCAGGCTTCTTACGAGGGGATAAAGGACACAAGGCTCAGCGGTGCTATCTGTTGTGATGTCTGTTATGTGATGATAGAAATGTTCTATATTTACACTGTCAACTGTGATAGCCATTAGCCACATGGGGTTATTGAGCACTTGAAATGTGATAATTTAAATAGTCATGTGTGGCTGCTGTATTGGATGTTTTAGGTCTAGAAGAAGCACTGAGTAGCAAGGACAGTCACCACCACCATCACACACATGCATGTGGTACGTGGTAAGAGGAAATAAGTAGTCTCTACTTGAGAACGTGGCAGTAGAAGCTCGAAGATTAGCTGCCAGGTTTCAGTTAAGCCAAGAGGTGGAGGGAATGTTCAGAGGAGTTGAGGATATAAGGGAGTTTGAGCAATCAGTTGTAAGCTTTATTTAATGGCTGGGGAGTGAGGAGGTTAAGAGCTGAACCTACTGTGCACTAGAGACGTTTTCTCATTTCATCTGCAAGGTTGGTATTGTGCCTGTTTTATAGAGAAGGAAGCCAAAGCCCAGAAAGTTAAGTATCTTGTTCAGGACCACACAATTGGTAATACTGGAGTAGAGTTGGGATTTGAACTTGAG